ATGGATCTGTGCTCCCATTTTAGTTAGCACGTCTCTCCCTAATAGGGGACAGGGGCTCTCAGGGATGACCAGGAAAGAATGGGTTACATTCCTGGCTCCGAGGTTTACTGTTCTTTGTGTTGTCCATGGGTATTTCTTAACTCCTGTGGCCCCTTGTACCCACGAGGACTTAGAGGATAATTTCCCATTAGTTTTAACTAGGACGGAGTGCTGTGCTCCCGTATCGACCAAGAACTGGACTGGGGACCCCTCCACTTGCAAAGTTACCCTAGGTTCGGGGAGGGGGTCCGAACCCCATCTTCCCTAGTCTTCGTCTTGAGTGACTAGTATGGGTGTAGACCTAGGGGGTCCCTGTCCTCGTTGTTTCTTTTTGGGGCAGTCTCTTACCCAGTGGCCAGCCTCCTTACAGTAGGCACATTGGTCTTTGCTCAGATTATCATACCTGGGGGGGCCGCCTAGGTTGGGTGTTCTCTGGCTGTAGATGCTCTTTCTGTACTACTGCTGCCAGGACCTTGGTCATTTTTTCAGTGGCCTTAAATTGCCTTTCTTCTGGAGTATCTCTGTTATTGTAAACCCGCTGGGCTATCTGAAGGAGGTCCTGAATTCACTTTCCCTCCAAGTCTTCTAATTTCTGGAGTTTCCTTTTAATGTCTGGGGCTGCCTGATTTACGAAAGACATTACAACAGCTGCCTGACTTCCTGGAGCCTCTGGCTCTATGGGGGTGTACTGTCTGAAAGCTTCCATTAATCTTTCTAAGTAGGTAGCTGGGCTCTCTGTCTTTCCCTGCGGAATAGAGTATACTTTAGCCAAATTAGTGGGCTTGCGAGCAGCTGCCCAGAGACCCGCCATTAGAGTCTGGCGATAAAGGTGTAGCCATCCCCTACCTTCTGCCGTGTTGTAGTCCCATGTTGGCCTGGTCAGAAGAAAGGTCGCGTTTATGAGGTCGGGGTTGGCAGTCGGTTGACCGTCATCCCCCGGGACCAGCTTTCTAGCTTCTACCTGTATTCTCTCTCGCTCCTCTGTGGTGAACAAGATTCGGAGGAGCTGCTGACAATCATCCCAAGTGGGCTGGTGGGTGAACATGACACTATCCAGTAATGCCAGTAAATCTTTGGGGTTGTCTGAAAACTGAGCACTCTGAGTCTTCCAGTTATACAGATCACTGGTGGAGAATGGCCAGTACGGAAGCCTGGGGATACCTGTGTCATCTGGGGGTCCTATTTCTCGAAGGGGTAGGGCCACCATAGAGTCAGGCGGCTGGTGGGGGCTAGTCCGAGAAGTGCATCCTCGCGTCCTCCCCGCCGGCCCTTCAAAGTTACTTTCCCTTGCAGTGGGCCTGTGTGTGCCGGCCGCCTCCCGTCCGCCTGCTCCTTCTCGCAGCTCTGCCCGGGGGGCTGGGGCCTGGGGCCCGGAGGGGTACGGAGGGGGTTCTGTGAACAGTGGGTCCCTGCTATCAGGTAGAACAGGATGGGGGGGGCAGTCGGTTGCTTGGATTTTAGTGGTCGAGCAACCAGTGCCTTACAGGGTTCAGGGGCTAATCAGAAAGGGGACAGCCAAGGAGGCGGGTTCTCAACAAGGTCCTGCCATATGAGGATATATGGGATTTGATCTAAGTGGCCCGCACGCCCAGGTAGGAAAATCTTGGACTTTACCCTAGTGATGACAGCAAGTCGGAACGTCCCTTCGGGTGGCCACCCCACATCAAAGGCAGGCCATTCGGAGCGGCACAGAGTAATTAGCTTTCCTTTCCTGATTTCTATACCAAGATCATGTCCCCTTGCTCTTACTTCTTTGAAATTACTTGTAAGGAGAGATAGAGGAGTGCTCTGGGTATTACCCATCCTGTAATAATTTGTGGCCTCTTCCTGTAAAGAAATGTGGGTTAGAATCCCTGTAAAGGAAATCTGATCTGACTTATTAATGATATTTAGTCGCAAGTGCGCTTTGGCAGCCCGGGTCAGAAACAGCTGCTGCGCAGATCGTGATCGCGCTCCGGCAGCCCAGATCGCAGGCGTGCCCCGGCAGCCTGGGTCAGAGACAGTGGCTGCCCAGATCGCAAATGTGCTCCGGCAGCCCAGATCAGAGACAGCTGCTGCCCAACCAAACGCCCGACTCAGACGCAGCGCGCACCGAAGTCGGTCAAGTAGCTGTCGCGATCCTCGGCAGCCAGATCAGAGACAGCTGCTGCCCAAAACGCAAACGCGCTTCGGCAGCTCAGATCGGCAGCTGCGCCAACGCAAACGCCCAGCAGCTCAGACGTAGGCTGCTGCTCGATCGCGATCGCGCTCCGGCAGCCCAGATCAGAGACAGCTGCTGCCCAAAACGCAAACGCGCTTTGGCAGCTCAGATCAGAGACAGCTGCTGCCCAAAACGCAAACGCGCATCAGCAGCTCAGATCGCTAGCGCGCACCGGAAGCCCGGGTCAGAGTTAGCTGCTCGGATCGCGATCGCGCTCCGGCAGCCCAGATCAGAGACAGCTGCTGCCCAAAACGTAAACGCGCTTCGGCAGCTCAGATCACTAGCGCGCACCGGAAGCCCGGGTCAGAGTTAGCTGCTCGGATCGCGATCGCGCTCCGGCAGCCCAGATCAGGGACAGCTGCTGCCCAAATCGCAAACGCGCTCCGGCAGCTCAGATCGCAAGCGCGCACCGGAAGCCCGGGTCAGAGTTAGCTGCTCGGATCGCGATCGTGCTCTGGCAGCCCAGATCAGAGACAGCTGCTGCCCAAATCGCAAACGCGCTCCGGCAGCTCAGATGGCAAGCTAGATCAGACGAGAGCCAGGGGACCTCTCCCACCGGTCTCCGCTGGCTGTCCTATAGCGCCTCCGCCAGGACTGCGCCAGCTCCAGTTTCAGACCTCGTGAGTCACAGATTCAGATTCAGAACAGACACAGACAGACAAACTGAGACGAGCCGGCTCACCTATCAGTAGATCGATCCTAGTAGATCCGTTGACCAGGGGTCTGGTGGGCTTGGGGAATCCCGGACGAGCCCCCAGATGTTATGCCCAGACCGTTTGTTCCCCAAAGAAGACCACCAGAGTCCAGAGTCAAAGCCAAGTAGCAAAGATCTTTACTACAAGTTCGAACTTGGTCCCTCCATTCCACAGCATACAAGAGGGCCTCGAACAATGCGAGTGCTTGCTTTTTTTATAGCCCGAAAGTTACAGGGGAACAAAGGAATTCTTTTGGTTCCCGCGCTTTCAGTAAAACTTCGAACGGCTGTCTCCTTATCGGAGACTTTCCAGGTGGTGTTTGTACTGGGCCCAGGAAGTTTGAGAGATATATGGAGATATGTGGTGGGATGGTTTGTGTTTGTACTGGGCTCAGGAAGTTTGAGAGATATATGGAGATATGTGGTGGGATGGGATGTGTTTGTACAGGGCTTGTTTGTTTTGAGCCCGGGGCTGAGGAATGTGCCCGATTCCTTTCAGGATCAGTGGGCATGGCCCTATTCCTACTCTCAGACCATGCCAGTGGCAACCTGTGCTCAGTCTGAAGACATTGGACCCAAGTTGGGTGTGACACGTTCACATAACTATGCAGCACATGCCGGGAGTGATGTGTCAGACATTCTAATTTGAAAGATATACCTACATCTCTCTGGGTAGCTACAAAGTTCCTCAGGGATTTCATTTTGCCGGCATGTCTCTGAGCTTCTACACCTGCTCAAGGTCAGTGTCATCTTTGTGTTTAGCTCATCCAAAGGTGTTGTCCTGGTTTCAATGAACCTAACCCCATTCTTTCTATCTTCAGTGTTGGCTTGTTTTAGCGGATCCATCTGTAACACAGGAGGGATCCTTGGCTGAGGATTGTATTTCAGAACCACTGACTGCACTTGACAGTTGTTAACCCACTAGGCTCCTTTGGCTAGAGAAGCCACAGTCCTTCAGCCTCCAGTTGATAGAGATACTTAGGAAGACCACAGCTAGATGGACAAACAGCATTGAGAGGCCTCAGCCCTGCTCCTCTCAATTCCATCCTGTAGAGAATAGGAGTCAGGAGCCGCTGGCAGGAGACAGCATGTCACCCAGGACTCTGCCGGTGCAGTATCTGGAGAACTCACTCCCAATGTTTAACGTGGGTTCTTTTCTATTTCCTAAGTGTCTCGGCTGGGTTGAATAAATAAAGGGAAAGAGCACAAGAGAGAGAAATTTAAAGCTGGGTGTCTGGGGGAGACATCACATGTCGGCAGGATCCATGATGTTCCCCGAGCCAAAAAACCAACAAGTTTGTATTAGCAATTTTCAAAAGGAGAGGAGTGCACGAATAGGGTGTGGGTCATAGAGATCACATGCTTCACAAGGTAATAAAATATCACAAAGCAAGTGGAGGCAGGGTGATATCACAGGACCACAGGATGGGGCAAAATTAAAATTGCTAATGAAGTTTCGGGCACGCAGTGTCATTGATAACATCTTATCAGGAAACAGGGTTTGAGAGCAGGCAACCTGTCTGACCAAAATTTATTAGGTGGGAATTTCCTCGTCCTAAGCCTGGGAGTGCTACAGGAGACCAGGGCTTATTTCATCCCTTCGGCTTCGACCATAAAAGAACTTCTAAGGGGGCCATTCATAGGCCTACCCTCAGGGCGCATTGTTTTTCTCAGGGATATTCCTTGCTGAGAAAAGGAATTCAGCGATATTTCTCCTATTTGCTTTTGAAAGAGGAGAAATATAGCTCTGTTCCATCTGGCTCACCGGCAGCCAGGGCCAGTTCAAAGTTACCTCTCTTGTTCCCTGAACATTGCTGTTATCCTGTTCTTTTTTAAGATGCCCAGATTTCATATTGTTCAAACACATGCTCTGCAAACAATTTGTGCAGTTGACACATTCACAGGGTCCTGGGGTGACATTCATCCTCCTCAGTTTACGAAGAAGATGACGGGATTAGGAGATTAAAGTAAAGACAGGCGTAGGAAAACATAAGGGTGTTGATTGGGGAAGTGATAAGTGTCCGTGAAATCTTCACAATTTATGTTCAGAGATTACAGTAAAGACAGGTGTAAGAAATTACAAAAGTATTAATTTGGGGAACTAATAAATGTCCATGAAATCTTCACAATTTATATTCTTCTGCCACAGCTTCAGCCGGTCCCTCCGTTCGGGGTCCCTGACTTCCCGCAACAGTGCAGAATATGAACAATGCCATGTTCTTGCAGAAAACGCTTAGCCTGAGTTGCATAGGAGGTAATCACCAGACAACTGCAGAATGTAGAACACTGAGCAGGACAACTGACCTGTCTTCTTCACGTAGTCCATGTCACCACGAATCACATAGCAAATAGGGGAAGAGATATTTTGTGTTCAAAAAAAAGTAAAAAGATAATGTAGCTACATTTCTTCAGTTATTTTGAATCCCAAAGATTTCCTCATCTTTTTGTTGTTGTTATCGATGGTGGTGACAAGGACTTGTTTGTAGAGGACAGGTCAGCTGTCTGGCTCAATGATCTACATTCTGAAGTTGTCTGAAAATGTCCTCGTGATTAAATTCAGCCTAAACGTTTTGCCAGGAACACTGCAGAGTCAACGCTGTGTTTCCAACCTCAGCCCATCTGCGGGCAGAGAAGGTCTAGTTTGTCCATCACCATTATCATCATATCAGGACAGGTTACTTGGTTAAAGAGGGGTCTAGGAGATCTGTCCCTTTTAGAGATACCTTATTTGTAATGAAGTATTTGGGAAAGTGGTTTTTAAAAGTATAAGTGTCCTGTATTCTAATGATCATCCTCTAAACATTTTATCATTTATTAATCATCCCTGTCTGTGTCTACTGTTAGATTCATATCTCTACACTGGAAATTTTCTTTTTTTTTTCCTACACTGGAAATTTTCTGTGTCAATTTTTACTGTGCCTTTGTTTTTGCTAGTGTCTGTTGTTGAAAAAAAAAAATTCTCTGCCTGAGTTTTAATTTTTGTCCAAAGTTAATTTTTATCTATATAATTAAAATCTTTTGCCTGTCACTCTGGACTGTTGGACCGTTTTTTTCATTCAGTGTTGGAATCTTTCATTATGCTGATTGGTATTCATGGGTACTAATGCGAATTAATAAAAATATTTTCATTTCCCTGTTTTTTTCTTTGTTTCTTTTTTTTTTTTGAGACAGAGTCTCGCTCTGTCGCCCAGGCTGGAGTGCAGTGGCACGATCTTGGCTCGCTGCAAGCTCCGCCTCCTGGGTTTACGCCATTCTCCTGCCTCGGCCTCCTGAGTAGCTGGGACTACAGGCGCCAGCCACCATGCCTGGCTAATTTTTTTTTGTATTTTTTAGTAGAGACGGGGTTTCACTGTGTTAGCCAGGGTGGTCTTGATCTCCTGACCTCGTGATCTGCCCGTCTCGGCCTCCCAAAGTGCTGGGATTACAGGCTTGAGCCACCGCGCCCGGCCTCCCTGTTTATTTTCTAATCTCTTCCACATGGTAGGCTATGTTTACCATATGTAGCAGAATGTATTTACTACATTTCTTGGTTCTAGTTATTTGTATTCTTTGTGAGTGTGAGTGTGTGTGTGTGTAGGTCTGTGTGTGCCTTTGGCATTTAGGAAGGGTTGTATAGCTCATGGTTAATATTGCACTAAAAATGTTTTTGGTAGTTTTCCCCCCTTTGAACTAGACACACTTCTAATATTTAGTTTATATGTTTTAAATTATAACTTTCAATGTCAAATATTTCCATACAACAGTCAATTACATGATGTGGTTTTTTTTTCTACCTTCTTTACCTGCCACTTCTCATAATAGTATTTGAACCTAAACATATACCAGTGACATTCTGTGACTGTCATCTTGTCCCCACTTTGGTTTTGGTTTAGATCCACAATGAAATGTATTAATGCTCATGAGCTATTCAAAAGTGAATGTCACAGTCATCACTTGCTGAGTGGTACTCATCCTTAACAGGGTCCTCATGAGCAAATCAGGTCTTGCTGAGTTTAGCATGTTTAATAATCTTTTCTCACGATCTTGATACATGGATCGCATTACTGGATATGAGGTGCTTGAGTTTTTAGGAGATATTGTCTTCCTTGGGGGACATACATGGTGTGTGTTCTCATTGTGGGATTCTATTTTGTTCTACCAGGACCTCTAATTTCTGCCAGTTACTTCATTCATTTGTTCTCTTCACCACGAATCTCCAGAGGATGCTTCCTTTGTCCACGCCTCCCCATCTTCCAGCAATTCTGCATTTCCAAGATTGGCACCTCCGGTCCTCTGCACGGTGAAGCCCCTTCCTTTTGATTCCCCAGTAGCCAGTGCTTTAATCCACCAGGTCTCAGGCATGATCTGTGTTTCTCCACACTCACTTTCAGAGGATAGTTTTGCCTGTGTTCTGTCATGAACAGCCCCTCCCTGCTGTCCTGGCCTCTATTTGCATAGTGTTTCCTGCTCCCTCTGCCGTTGTGTGGCTCCCAGACCCGGCTAAATAAAATCACCTGAGGGCCACGGTGTTCCCTAGCCCTGGTGTTTAGGGGCAGGATTATGGGTGAGATTTTTGATTCTCTAAGTTAACCCCTAGGGCTTTGAAGTGTATGTTGAGAAATTCAGCTGTTATCATCCTAGGTGGCCTTGCTCTCTCCTATCCTCCTACTTCAAATGCAGAACTTCAATTGTGTACAAAAGAAGACTGAATCATATAATAGAACACACCCTTATTCATTGACTGGCTTCATCATGGCTGAACTTTTAAAAATACAATCTTAGCCACATACCTATGAAATGCATATGTGTGTGTGTATATATATATGAATTTGCTTCTGAGATTATGGAGGCTGAAATTCCCAAGATGGAAGGAAAGCTGGATACCCAGGAAAGCATTTTTTTCCCATTAGGCCTCTTAATTCTCTCCTGGCCTTTGATTGATTGTATGAGTCCCACCCCCATTAAGGAGGACAATCTGCTTCACTTAGTCTGCCCACCCCAATGTTACTCGTATCCGAAACACTCTCTGGAACACAACCAGAATCATGTTTGGCCAAATGTCCCGGCACCTGGTGCTTGGTTACAGTGACACGTACAAGTAACTATCACACATGCCCTTTGTCATATTTGTGATTTCCACTGTTTTTCTCCCAATCTGCAGCTTATATTTGTTCTCTTAATACTACCTTGTGTTGACCAAAAACTTTTAATTTTTATAAAGTTGAATTTATCAATGTTTTCTTTAATGGTTTGTGTTTATTGATAACAAAGATCACTTTGCCTAACTCTGTATCGTGAAGATTTTGTCTTATATTTTCTGCTATACTTTCTCTGGTTTTATAGTTTATATTTAGCTGCATAATCCATTTTGAGTTAGTTTTTGAGTCGGTATTGAGATTCAGGTGAATTTTTTTCCTTTGGGGATATGCATGTCCAGTTGTTTCTACACAATTTGTTGACAAGAGAATGCCTTTTCCACTGAGTCATATTTGGACGTTTGTCAATCCATTGGGTGGTTGAGGCTGGTGAGAGGACTGTCCTGGTGTTTGGACAGAGAGACAGGGCATGAAGTAGGGTGGTTCTTATGGGAAAAATTAAGGAAGGCACATCTTTCCATGAGGCATAGGAAAGCCCCAAGCATAATTGGGGTACCCTCTACTAGCATGTTGTAGCACACTCATCTCTGCTCTCTCTTCCTCTCCTGTTGCAAAAGCCTGGGTGTGCATAGACACTGAGGTCGAGTGGTGTCTTTGGGCACTTTTGAGCATTGACACCAAAGCTTTAGCATCAAATCTTAGAATATAAAGCAGCCAGGTGGATCACCTGAGGTCAGAGGTCACGACCAGCCTGACTAGCGTGGTGAAACCCCGTCTCTACTAAATACAAAAACATTAGCCAGGCATGGTGGCGCACGCCTGTAATCTGAGCAATTGGGAGGCTGAGACAGGAGAATCGCTTGTGTACCTGGGAGACAGAGGTTGCAGTGAGCTGAGATCACGCCATTGTACTCCAGCATGGTCAATGAGAGTGAAATTCCATCTTCCAAAGAATAAATAAATAAAAATAAAAGAATATCAAGCAGCCAAAGAAGCAGGAAAACATGACACATAATGAAGAATCTAATAATCCAGTTGAAATTGCCACACATGTTGGAAATAGAAGAAAAGGACATTAGAACAGTTAGTATAATTGTATTTTAATTAAATGGAGAGGTTGAAGATTTTTAAAATATCAAATTCTACAGATAAAAACTGATTTACAGTCTGAAATGGAAGAAGGCACTGGACTAAACATTGCAGAAGAGAAGATTATTGAACTAGAAGGAATAGAAGTTGAAACTAACATAAATGAAACACACAGTAACAAATGACTTGAAAACTAAAAGGACCATCAGCATAAAAACTTTAAACACCCTAGTATAGGGCTAAATGGAATCCCCGAAGGGCGTGTAGTGGAGAAGAGAGACAAAGATATTTAAAACATACTGGATGAAAGATTTAGAAGCTCCATGGAAACCATAAACTTCAAATATTACAGAAATATGATTATTCTAAGAACAAGAAACATGAAGAAAACTTCACCAAGGAACACCTTAATCAAATCCATCAAAATCAGTGATAAGGAGGAAATCCTAAAAGTAATAAAAGGGGAAAGAACATGTTACATACAGAGCACTAAATATAAGGATGGCATGAGATTTTTCATAGGAAACTTTACAAACAAGAGGTTTGCAATAAAGTACTTAAGAAAAACTGTCACCTACAATTCTACACCTGGCCAAATTATCTTTCAGAAATACACATGAGAAAAAGTATTTTTGAACAGAAAACAAAATGATCTCAATTTGCAGATGGTGTGATTGTATATATAGAAAATCCCAAATAATACATACAAATGCAAACACACACACACACAGACAGACATACACATTACTAGAGTTAATAAGCGAATTCAGCAAACTTTCCGCAAACAATCAGTTGTGTTAGCAATGAACAATCTGAGAAGAAAATTGACACAATGATTTCATTTATAATAGCACCTGTAAGAATAATATGCCTGGGAATAAATTTGTTCAAGAAGGTGCAGTACTTGTACACAGACAACTACAGAACATTGCTCGAGGAGATTAAGGAAAACCTAAATCAATGGAAAGACATCTTGTGTTCATGGGTTGGAAGTTGTAACATGGTTAAGATAAAAATACAACTCAAAGCAATCCGCAGATTCAATACAATCCTACCAAAAAAAGTGGCCTTTTTTACAGAAATGCCTAAGAAGAACTTCATATTCCTAAAAAATAGCAAGTGTCCCCCCAAAACAAAAGCAATCTTGAAATGCAAGGAGGAACATTCTCTATTCCAAAGGTCTTTAACTGCTCTCAGCAATACTTGGTAGTCTTCAATATATAGGCTTTCACATCTTTTTTCTTCCTTTGTTTCTAGACACAATCTCACTCTTTCACCCAGGCTGGAGTACAGTGGCACGATCACAGCTCACTGCAGCATGGAATTCTCAGGCCTGTGACATCCTAGGGCCTCATCCACTGAGTACCTGGGACTATAGGCTCACACCACCACACCCGGATAATTTTTCTGATTTTCAGTAGAAATGAGGTCTCACTATGTTGCCTAGGCTAGTTTCAAGCCTCTGAGCTCAAGCGACCCTCCTGCCACAGCCTTCCAAAGTGCTGGCATTTGAGGCCGAGCCTGGCTGGTTTTCACATCTTTTCTATGTAGTTTATGTTTCTTGATGTTATTGTAAATGTTTATTAAAGGAATCTTTTAAAAATTTTGTTTTAAAATTATATATTTAAGGAATTACATGTATATATTTAAGGAATACAACCTGAGGACTACATATACATATACATATACATATACATATACATATACATATACATATACATAATGAGCTAATGCCTACTAGGTGAGGGCCTTGTGAGTAAACCCAAGGTCCCTGGCTCACGAAGCCTTTGTCTAGAAGGATGGAGGGATCAGCAAGGTGGGCACACAGCAGGTTCTGTCTTTGGTGCGGGCACCTGCCCACTCGGGTTTCTGGCAATATTAACCAGGCTTCACGATGGGTGAGGTGAGCTAGGAATGGGAAAGTGGATTACCTCAGATCCAGAGACTGCAGTTGTCACCTGGGGACCTGGCATGTGTGCGGAGGAGTCTCCCATGGATTTGGCCCTGGGTCAATGCCCAAACATGCACAGGGACAGGACTCTCGGCCTCAATGTTTTAGGAGCCCCCGGTCTTCTAAAGAGGGTTTGTGGTGGGGAAGAATGTTCAACAGAACAGTTACGAGTACTCTAGCTTGGCAACAGAGAATACTTCCTTGTGCTACTAAATGGCAATATTTGACAATTATGGATGACACAATTGAGAACAGCTTTCACTCTTTAACAAGCAGTGTCTCTGGAACCCTAGGTTAGTGCTATTAGATGTTGACTGAAAAGTCAGTGATTTGAGCCCATCCAGTCACATTAATGTTTCTAGCTGACGTGACCTTCCATCTGAAGAGTCTCTTCCTTGGACCAAATAGATCTTAAAGCTTCTCTTCTTCCTGTCTCTTGTTTATTTTCCAAGGTGCCTCTTTGTTGCGTGGGGCAAAAAAAGTCCATTTTTAATCCACACCCAACAAACATCTACCCTCTCTTATCCTGGTTTTTAGGGTTTTGAGTTTGTTTGTTTGTTTGTTTTCTCAGCTTCTCATATTTGGAATACTGTAAATTCCTAACGTGGAGAATGACAGAACCTGAATCACACCTATGGTGAAGCCACAGGCTCTGGGTGAAAAACCTAATCTGCCAGGGTTTGAAGTTAAACACATTAATCTTCTGTGCCTCCATTTCTATTAAATGGACTAAATCAGAACACTTAGGTTGTCCAATGTTTAAATGAGCAGTGCAGGAAAAGCGTGGAGCCAATGCCTGTCACATAGTAATTGGTCAACACGCGTGAGCTCCTATCAGCGTCAGGGCCTCCAGCATTTCCATCAGGCTTTGATCTTTGAAATTTCCTTCTTGATGTGAATGAATCATTCTTCAAACATTCTCTAACCGATGGCCATGAAATTGCTCCAGTGTGTATTATTACAAATACAACTGCAGGGACCAGACTGACATATGCATCTGTCATGCATTGCTTGTCTATTTCTCTGTAGACACCTGAGGATGGAATTGTCAGACCAAAGTGTTTATATATTTCAGATTTTCTAATTTCTTTCTAAATTACTGTGAAAAGAAGATATAACAAATCATACTTTTAACATTTTATGAGAATTCTTTTTCTCTCCATCTTCTGGCCAAAACTGGGAAGTACTTGCCTACCATTTGCTCTGAACTTACTTTTGCCAACATTTCTGTAGTCATACAGTGGGATCACATTGTATGCATGACATCAAACTCAAATCCTTAAATGAAAAGAAGGATTAACATGATTGTATAAAAATTTATACTCAAAATACAATGAATGCAAATATATATGTGTATATAAATACATATATACACACATACATATATGGAAAAGGAAATTTTTTATTTGGTTACTTTATCAAAGTTATGTATACTTGAAAATTTGTTTAATAAAACAGCAGTCCCCTTGTGTACTCCCAGAGTTTCATCACATGAAGCAATTATTTATCTCCTTATGTCCAAACAGATATTATAATATTTTTGATTTTCAAGTTTAGGCACTATCTCTCCTTCACATACTTGCTCATCACCACTCCCCACCCAAACATGCCTCTCACTACCTCACCCTCTAACATGTTTGTGTCCTAGTTTGCTGGGTCAATTACTGCATTGTTATAACCTGTACATTTTATTCAGAGTTCAGTCACATTGGATATACATAGCAGGAATGAAAGGCCAGTATCTTCAGGTTCTCTCTCTCAAGTGGAGAAGCTTCAGAGATTTTTGTAATCTTTGGTCACCAGCACCGTCTTTTTCCTATTCCAGGTAAGTACTGGATCTGATGGGCCCAGCTGAGGTCAGGCACTCACTCCTTGAGCAGGGGTGAGTGGGACATCTTCATGTGTAGTACCAGGAAGACACTGTCTAAAGAGGGACAGGTAATTCTAAGACAGAAAAGTCAATCTGGGGTACGGGTAGGCAAAACAAGGACACAAAAAAAACGGTGTCTGTTCTGTGAGGGGAGCATGCAGTAGAGGGTGGATTCAGAGTGGGAGGGGAGAGTTTTGAGAGATATGGGCCATGGATATCCCTCTGTGGGCTGGAGCCGCA